ATAATCATCTTAGAACTTAACATTAATTTTTACATACTTTTGTACTCTTAAAATAAAAAATAGTAATTTTAAAATGAAGCACAATTTTTATTAGAATTAGAATGTTTTTACTATATACAAAAAATAATTAATGTTCTATTAAATAAAAATATGGCATTAAAAGTTCCTTTCTTTTTATATATTGTTTTTATTTTTACAAAATTCATAAATAATGATTTAAATATTAGCTTATATAAGGATTAATAATAATAATCTTATAATTAATATTACTATTATTATTATCATTATTATTATTATTATTATTATTATTATTATTATCAACATCGTTTAGGGACCAAATTTTAATCGTCATTTTTTTTTATTTTTTGTGTAGTCAAATTTTTAGTGGGTTTTATTTTTACATTTTAATACACATAAAAAAATTCGACCAAAGTTTTTATTTTCAAAAAGCTATCATGTATACAAATTAATGAATAAATTTGTAAATCATGCGTAATTAAAGTTTGAATAAAAGCTGTTGTATACACCCACTTCATCACGCTTTCAAGTGCATAAGAGATAGAATAGAACTGATATTATAAAAAATGTACTCAAATACTTTGTGTATGGTTTCGGTGGAACTGGAAAAATATTTTCTTAGAAATAACTGTCTGCTTCTCTGAGGTCAAATGATAAGGTTGTCTTAAATGTCGCATCAAGTGTGATTGCAGCACTGCTTTTACTTGGGGAAGGACAGCACACTCAAGATTCTCAATTCTTCTAGCGCTAATTATGTTCTCAACATGTGCCATCAAACAAGGGAGCCCGAAAATAAAACAAATCCAACAAGCAAGTCTAATCATATGAGATGAAGCGTGTATGATGAATAAATTTAATTTTGAGGCATTGGATTGTATAATGAGAGATGTAATGATGTTTTCTAATAAAAACTCCATAAATGAACCATTCGGATGGAAAACGGTTGTACTCGGATGTAATTTTCAACAACTTCTTCATGTTTTACATAGAGCTTCGAGAGAGGAAATTATAGGTGCTACCATCAATTTTTCAAACATGTGGTCGTATTGTAAAGTTTATACATTGACGAAGAATATGAGATTGCATTCGTCTACATCATGTTGCACAAATAGAGACACACAAGCTTTTTTATTGGATAATAAAAATTGGAGATGGAAAGCTTGGACAAGTGATTGATGGAAGAAATGACATTGAAATTTTGCCTAAATGCTTGATTTTAGACATGAGTTCCCCCTCAAGAATATAGTGAATTTCACTTTTTCGAACCTATTGAAGAATAAGAAAATTATTCTTTTTTCGAGGACAAGCCACTACTGGCACCCACGCTTCAAGGTGCATAAATGGTAGATGAATTTGTCATATCACTCATTCCCTGAAGATGAAATGATGTGCTTGAGTTCTGATTCTTCATGTCAGGAGGATCCAAATGTAGGTGTTGATGACGATTGGATAACAGTTAAGTTTTTGAATAAAATCAAATGATCGGGGATTCCAAACCACAAGTAGTTTTAAAAATGGGGGTACCAATTATGTTATTAAGAAACATTGACCAAACATATGAACTGTGTAATCGTACAAGATTAATTGTTGACAAACTGCGAAAGAACGTTGTCAGTGGTATTGTGGTTTTGAGAAATTGAGTGGGGAAAAAGTTTACATATCCCGGATGAATTTGTTCGACCTCGTGCATCGCACGGGTTAGAATACTAGTTATAATTATAGTTTTGAGTAAATTTCATTAAAGGTTCTCAGTTATAATTCATTTTACATATTTAGTTCCTACATATCAAATATTAATAATTTATTCTCCAATTATAATATTATTTCCCATGAATGATCTTTTGTTAACAATTCCCTTAAAACATAGATAAAATTGTAGATTCACACACCTATCTTTCCTCAATTAAGCTTCCTCCCTCCTCTCGCACTCCTTTTCCAAACTCATCGCTGAGTTTGAAGCTCTAAACTCAAAACCGAAAAGATCATTCATCTCTCAATCGTTCATCTTCTTGGTGGAAACTTAAATTCGAAACCAATAACCTTTGTGGATGAATTTTATGGGTTAGTCTTAGGAAATTGCAAAGAAAACAAACCTTAAGACTCATCCACGAAGGTTATTGGTTTCAATTTTGGAATCCACCAAGAAGACGAACAATTAAGAGAGGAGTGATGATTTCAGTTAGGGTTCAAATCATCAAACTCGGCGACAGATTTGGAAAAGAAGTGTGAGAAGATTGAGGAAGCTTAATTGAGAAAAGAGAGGAGCATGAATTTATAATTTTATCCACGTTTTTAACGGAAATGTTAACAAAGGACTATTCGTGGAAACCAATACTCCCTCCATCCTAAAATTAACTTCTCAGTTTGACTTTTGTAGTCAAACTTTTTAAACTTTGACCATATATTACGGAAAAAATACATTGAATTTTCATAAAAATTTATTAGAAATAGATTCATTTTGAAACATAGTTTTGAAATATATAATTTTTATAAAATATATTTATATAAAAATTGAGATATTGATGGTCAAGGTGTCGTATTGGAGACTGTGAAAAATCAAATGTGAAGTTAACTTTAGCACGGAGGGAGTATAATAATTGGAAACTAAATTAAAGAAAACCCCTAAATGGAAGTAAAACATGGATAATATCCTCAAAATAGAAGTTCAAACTTATACTCCTTTAAATAGGAGTAATTAATTAAATATATGTTTTGATTACCCTCCTAGCCGCACAAACAAGTTGGCCACACAAACCAAGTTGGACTCCCAATACTCATTAAACAAAACTATGGCAAAAAGTAGTGTTAGTTGACATTTACCCCTTTTTGACACTATGCATTAACATCTGTGATATTTAACATTATACATTACCATGAATGATATTATACAATGTCAAGGTTGGCATTATCTATTTAATTTGTTTAGCATTATGCATTCGCATATATGACTTTATACATTGGCATGATTCCCATTATATGATTACATGTGACATTTTATGTGATCTTTTTTGACACTGTATGGACATTTTAATTTAACAATTTACTACATTTCTATATGTAAGGTATTGATTTATATTTGTTGATGAAGGTTTGGGTGTGTTTTATTATTGAATTAATTTTGTTTACGTTCAAATTTGTTATTTTTTTAGCATTATGTATTGGCATGTATGACTTTATACATTAGCGTGATTGACATTATATGATTACATGTGGCATTTGATGTGGTCTTTTTTACACTGTATAGACATTTTAATTTAGCAATTTACTACGTTTCTATATATGTAGGCATTAATTCATTTTTGTTGATGAAATTTTGGGTGTGTTTTGTCATTGAATTAATTTTTTTTACATTCAAATTTGTTTTTTTTGTTGATTCAATTTTGCTAATGTTTCAATAACAATTTACTATAAATCAAGATGACTGAAGGAGAGTTCTTTCCAACAAAACACAGCATGGAATTTCTTTTAATAATCATACGATTGATTTGGGCGGCGCTTTGTGGAACTACTTGGTAAAACAAGAGCAATATTCACATGGTCATTATGTTACAACATTATGTTCCCATGGAAGAGTTGAAGAGGCACTAGAGTCTTCTAAGAAAATCATAAGGTGTTAAAATAAATTAAATTACATTTTTGACATTACTCAATTTTTCCTAATTTCTAGAGTTGTCAGAGGTTAAGACTTAGAAGCTTGGAGTGTATTGAAGTGTAAAAGAGTATGAAAATTTATAATGTTTAAAACATAATTAAATAAAGAGAAAATTGCATGGAAGAGGACACTGAAGGTCCGAATTGGAAACAAAGTATTTGAAGATTAATGCATGAGGCGGCTTAGAACAGTGCACCGAACTCCGGGATTGAAAATTCAGCATATGTACGAATAAGGAATTTTGAAATTTAGTCATTGTTTAGTTTTGGAAGATGCATGAGTAACTGGTTTTGGAGTAAAAAATTAGAGTCATTGTTAAGTTAATTACTCCTATGTAAGGGAGTTTAAGTTTCAACTACTATTTTGGGATATGACAACTCTTTTACTCTTACTTTGATCCATCTCCCACTAAATTATTGATATTTGATATGTAGGGACTAAATATGTAAAACGAATTATAACTGAGGACCTTTTATGAAAATTGAACTATAACTTATCGAACTGCCAAAATCATTGTTTGGCTAATGACTTTTTCACCTGGCTTTTTTATCTGAAATATCAAAATTCGAAAAGTCAAGGGGAGTAGCTTTTGAACTTGGCTTTTAGAAAAATTATTTTTTAAAATCATTTTTCTTGAAAGATATTTTATAATATATGAAAAAATAAAAATAAAAGTTAAAAAAATTTATTTTTTTTAAATTTTAAATAAAAATGTATGAGAAAATAAGTAGTAAAAATCATTAAAAAAGTTATATATTAATAATTTTTTATGAATTCTATGAGAATGAAATTTTATACTCCACATATTAACGATTTAATTTTTACATGTACAAAAATAAAAAAACAAATGCTGCGTGTGTGCGTGTGTGTGTATATATATATATATATAGACACACACACTCAAAAAACTAAGGCTACGAGTATCCAAACAAGGCTAAAATCTATTATATTAATGGGTGACATTTCATTTATTTGTCATTAATGATGCCATAAATAAATGGAAAGGAGTCCAAGTTGGGTCATGGCTCGCCCAATGCCCATTGGGGAGCAGTGTGTGGCTGGGTATGGATGACTGGTGTAGCCGGTCACTCCTATCTTCGAAAAATGGTAGGGTAGGTGTACCCCATTTTGTCCCCCACTCCCTCCATCACCACACAAAAAGACAAAAAACTAAAACAAAATTAAATGAATAAAAATAAAATAAAATAAAATTTAATGGTAGATAAATGGGTGTAGGACAAATGGTGTACACCTTTTGGTGTACCCCTAGCATTGGTCCTGCTCTTGTATTTATACCCCGTCATCAAATCTTCATTTCTCTCATTCGTAACCGCCCCGTCAACTCTAAATGCCCTCGCTTTTTTAACACATTTACATTTATGCCATTTTTGTTATGCTGGCTGACGTGTATCGGGAGACTCCGATCGACGCCGTCTCCTTCCGTTTCTCGTCTCCGGCCTGGCCGCCGCTAACCTTCCCGACGATCGAACTTTAATTCCGAGGACCAGAACCGATCCAGTGATATCGGATCCGATGCCTAGTCCGATGAATCGGAAGGGAAGATTGGCCGAGAAAGCGATGTCGTTTAGCGGGCAGAGCGGAGCCAGCGCCGCCGTACTGCTTCAGAGGCCGAGGACGGTGCCGGACTTACTCTCCGGCCGTAAAATTCCTTCCTCCGCCTGTTCGTCGCCGGATCTCCCGCCGAAGCTCACGAAGCTGCTGGTGAATGTGACGGTACAGCGGAGCGCCGGCCCCTTGCACGTGTTGATTTCGCCGGATTCAACGGTAGAGGACCTCATCGCCGCCGCTCTCCGGCAGTACGCGAAGGAAGGACGGCGGCCGGTGCTTCCCTCTACCAGCGCCGCCTATTACGGGCTTCATTACTCACAATTTAGTTTAGAGAGTAAGCTCTGCTCGCCTTCCCAGCGTTTACTCCCTCCATCTCCAACCACTCTCCAATTTGTTTTTTACCAAATTAAGATCGGATAAACTTAAATCATTAATTAAATACATAAATTTTTCCGCAATACATTAAAATAATTTTTTAAAGTTTCTGTTCATAAATCTTATAGCGATGTTTGGTACCACCGGCGGACAGGTTTGGAGAGGGGAGAAAGGCTGACGGCGTTGGGATCAAGGAACTTCTTCTTGTGCCCGACGGAATTGGAAGCCGCCGCCGCCGCAGGGAAGATGGCCGTCGGCGGCGAAACGTCGTTATCCGGCAGCTGTTCAAAGGAAGTTGACAAGCCAACGACAAAGAATCGGTTACAGTGGTTCAAGTTCACGCTGTGAATTGAATTGAAGAAGAAGAAAGAAGAAGGAAGAGGCAAAGCCTCATGTGCAGGGAGCATATACTAATGGATATGGTATTATTGTATATAGATTGATTAGTGTCAATAAATTGTTTCCCTTAATCATCATTTCATACTCTTTGAAATTGAGCCCTTAATTATGTCTCATCCAAAATATACTCTACTATTTGAACCTCTCCGAGTATGTGTTTGTTCACTTTATTTTTTTTGTAATGAACCAATTGAATCACGTACGGTGTCCCGTTTGTAAATTGAGACACCTACGGTGTTTCGTTTGGCACTCCTCTCAGTGCATTTGCCAAGGATGAAACTCGGGTCTACGTTCTTGACACTCCTTACTTTTACCAATTGCACAACATCCACGGGCAAATTTGTCTCTTTTTTAAGGGAGATTTTTTTAAATTTCTTTCTCTCCTCTTTAAAAGTAAAACTTGCATGTCCATATAGTAACTTCTTTGTTGACGTCCGCAAGACAAGGATTTGGAGTGATTTGTTTCCTAATTTGTTTCTTGATTTGTTTCCTTGTTAGATTGATATTCTTTGATTCCCCCTCCTATAAATAAAGAGGAGGCTTATTGTATGAGATTGAACGATTGGATACATAGAACTTTTTCTGACATTATTTTCTAACATGGTATCAGAGAAAAATCTTGAGACCCAGCGGACCCAGGTTTAAAAAAAACGAAATCCTTACTCGCCGGAATCTTCTTGTAACTGTGGAAGATGGCCGACGGCAAGGACATCAACCTCTTGTTCAGAGATAAAGGCGAAGGAGACACAAAAACAATTCGTCAAGGTTAGCCCTTACGAATTAAAATTAGCAGATACCCCACCTTTGATTATCACCCAGATCAAACTAACTGGGGATAATTATGAGGAATGGGCACGAATATTCAAATTGTTATAAAAATAGTTATAAAAAATCAAATTTAGCACGAATTTCATGTACAAGTATTCTGAAAAAATAAAATAGGGCCTAACACATGAATTTTTCACATGGCCAATCTGATTTTTTACATTTTCGGACCAGCCCTAAAAAGTATATAAGTAATATTATACTTAATTTTTTTACTTTCTTTGTTTCAAATTAAATTTCAATTTTACAATTACAAAACAAAATCTATTACTTTTAAAAATCATTTTATTTAACAATTGGCATAAGAATACAAAAAATTAAATATTAAAAACTACGTTAAAAGTTTTACAAAAAAGAAGTGACAAAAATATTTTATTTTATCAAATATTCAATAAAAATATATAAATAATCAAAACTTTTGGAGAGACGAGAGAAAAAAATTATAATTTATTAGGGGATGAAGGGAATAATATTGACGAATTGTTTCCGGTTGAATTATATCATCCCAATTTGAGGAGTAATAAAAGTAATATATTTGGACGAAATGGTACTTCATATTTAATCATTTCCTCATTCTCAAGTAATAATAAAGGGAACAAATATATCGAGTCCGTCCAAAAAACAAGTAGGCTAACATAGGATTGAGGGGAGTATTTGTATTGAAAAAATACTTTTAGGGTTCCTAGAGAATTGAAATTGAATTGGAATTGAAATTCTATGGAATTGAATTCTTAAATTGCAATTCATTTTTTGTACTGACAATTCCAAATCCATATATTTTTATGTTATCAAATAGTAAAATTAGATTTAAAGTACATAATTCCAATTACACGACTTGAATTCTGTGTACCAAACAGAGCCTGATGATAATTATTTGAATTTTATAAATTTTATTAATACTCCATTGGGAGGGACCAATGGGCCCCAAACCTATCTAAAATATTTGGTTGGGCTAATATCCACAGGTACTACATACTCTGTCTATATACGGAGATACCTGATAAATTGCTCAACCAAACAGTCCCTACAAACATTGAATCATGTCAACCCTTATTTGCTCAACCAAACAGTCCCTACAAGAGGACTTGTTGGGAAAAACAACATAGGCAACCAAGCATCCGGTTGGGACCATAAGAGGGTTTAAGCTAAGATTCTTTAAACAGAGGAGATCAGAATGCACAAAAAAAAATATAAATCCCAATTATTGAAGCATAGTTACAAACAAATAGAGGTTTATATTGCAAACTAATCTCACAAATTCTTCTTCTAACTCAAGACAGTAAAGTATAAAGTATTGATACAATATAATGATAATTCATCAAAAGAAAAGCATTCCAAAGCTATAAATAATGACACAAAAGGTTGATTACAAGTTTGCCCCTGTTACCCTCACTCACTCTTATTCCCCCCTCTTGACAAAAGATTAAAAACACTAAACAAACAATCAATTTATATATGTGTCACAAAAAACTAGAGCCCCATAGCAAAAACAAATCTGGCTTCTTCCTCAGGGTTCCCTGGAGATTCTACCTCATGATCCCGTGCTCCGTATCTATCTGAATCAACTTGTTGCAAGAAATCATACCGATCATAGTTACATTTTCGTGTGTGCACAAATGAATGGAGCTGATGGGAGATTTTCACGAATATGTGTTGTATATAGAGAGCTCTTAAGATGGAACAATGGTGCCTATGTAGCCAAATCCAGCAATCGTAAAGGTGATGACTTGGAGGAAGAGGTAGATGAAGTATTGATTCTTTCCATACATGAAATCATAGCATCCGCAGACGAAAAGAAATCCCGCGAATCCCAACTCTTGTGGAAGAATCCTAAACCACCACAAAATTAAGTATTCGTTAGTTCAACGGAGAACTTTGTTAATTAATAACAAATGATGTAATTCATCTGTGCAAATGTGTCTAAGGCACAAGCTAAGACTATGTACTAGGTTGTTCTTGTACTGTGAATGGCAAATGAGAAAAGCAGAATCTCATCCTCACCTGTCTCCAAAAAGGGATTTGGTCTTCTTGGGTGCAGGGGTATGTTTGGCGTTCGCCTTGTTCTTCAATGTGTCTCCCAGCTTTTCAGTAACAACCCACTCGTTAGCCCTCTTGGCTTCTAGTAATCCGATAAAGGTAGCCTTGGTGCGATGGAATGCCATGACGTTCTCAAATAGGATCCAGTAAAACAAGAGATGGATTGACCTGCGCGCACAACGAGATTAAACTTCAATTCAATCGCGAGTTATTACTCACATTTGAAGTTGGTTTCTCTGTTCCTCTTAGATGCACATACCTTGGGGTGCCAACAGAGTTGAGAGTTGTGATGATGCAAGGAATGTAAATGGCTGCCCACTTTGGTATTTCGACTTCCGGTACAAGAATTGTCAAAGGAAGAACGACGCAAAAGAAGAAGAACGTGACCATGTGAGCTATGATTTTTCTAACAAAGAAGAAGCTGTAGATCACATAGAACTTCTTCCACACATTGACTCTCTGCAAATACATGAACACAACATTAAAACTGTCAAACATAGAGGGTAGTAATTCCTTGTTTTTGTTTTTTAAAGGTTGAAGTTCAAGTTATTATGTCATGTTTTTGCAGTAAAAACATATGGAAAATTGCTACTTTTAAGTTTTAACCTCACGGATCACACCAAAGTTGATACCACACACAAACAGATGTTTGCGACAATCATTGCCTCTGAAGCGCTAGTGATTACAACCTTGGTGTCATCCGTGATATGACTATAGCAAGACCCAGAACATATACAGACCTTGTTCCTCACAATTTCCATGACCATTTTTCGGAACAAGTTGGCGGGGCCACAAGACCAACGATGCTGCTGGAAACGGAAGGCCTTGAAAGTACTAGGGAGTTCGCTTTTTACCTGTCATAATGAATAAAAAACAGGATTTGAGGGATTAATAATGTGATTAAAACGCTTTCTTTTTTTTTTGCTCATCGAATTGAGGATGCTAACGAGAATGTAGGAAAGAAACATTACTTGGAGGTCTCCAAGATAGAGGAACTTCCAACCCTTAAGACTGGCCCTAACAGCCAAGTCCATATCCTCCACAGTGGTCCTATCCTTCCAGCCACCGGCCTCGTTTATGGCCCCAATTCTCCACACACCGCCAGTCCCTGGTCCAACAAAGTAAGGTATTATTATTGCATGCCTTTTGATTGATTTTCCAGAGGGCTCTGATACCATATTAAGATTTGATTGTAATTCAGTTCTTTTCTCTTGTTATGGCCACACACAAGAAATAAAAAGGTGCAAAATTCAGGTACCATTGAAGCCAAAGAAAGCATGGGTGGATGATCCAACTTCTTGCTCCACAGTGAAATGGTAATCCAAAGACATCTCTTGCATTCTGGTCAACAAGCACTCGTCCGCATTGACTGAAAAGTTATTAAAAAATTGTCAAGTGTGTCAAGAAACTAATTCAACCAAAAACTGAAACGGTTGTATGATTTTTAAATCCAATGGACGAGGAGAAAAGAAAGGATTTTCAAAAACATTGTTCTATTATATACTTAAAATAAAGTGAACAAAAATATTAAGGGGTTGTTTGTTTCAGCCTCTTAATGGTTCAGATGTCTGAATGGTTTAGCACTTAATGGTTCAGACGGTTTGTTTCAGCCTCTTAATGGTTCAGATGTCTGAATGGTTAAGAGATTTGCCTCTGAATGGTTAAATATTATACAGAGTCTGAATGGTTAAGACCTTTTATCTGAATTGATCAGACATTTGCCTCTGAATAGTTAAGCAATATACTAATTCTTAATGGTTCAAACCTCTTACTAGTTCAGCACTTAATGATTCAGACCTCTTACTGGTTCAGCACTTACCTATTCAGAAGTTGTCAAACATCCCCTAAATCTAAAATGCAGATAAAAGTGTAACTGGTCTACGGAGTACTACTTTTTAGTTTCTACACCTAAAATTCTTGAAAAAAAACATGCCAAGCACCTACGGAGTATGAGTTTTGGCGTGGCCATTCAATCAATTAACGAGTCAATCAATCAAAAGATACTTTTCCTTTGCTTTTAAAAATATTCCCTTCGTCATTGAAAAATCAAAGTGAGAAATGTGAGAGTAATAGTCACGTAGAAATAAAAAGCAATACCTAAAAAAAACAATAGGTACCCACTTGATTTTAATAAATCAAATTGTGATAATTAATTAATTAAAAACTTAGTTCAATCTTACAAAAGTAGGGTCTAACATCCGTAGGGACCTTTGCTTTCTTTTAATTAAACAGTCGAATTATTTGTTATAGTTCCTTGGGTACACCAGGCACAAAGCAATCTTTCTAAAGAACAGATTGAGATTATACCATGATTTATCCCCGGAGTGTACGTTCCACAAAAGTTGAGTCTAAGGTGGGTGTGCGTAGACATTACCCTAATTCAAAAGCAGATACACTACTTCCAAAGAGTATTTAGAAGGTGTTTGGCACTGCGGTATTTTTAGAGTTTAGTTTCTGGTTTAAGTGTTAATCATTTTATTATGTTTGACACACCAACTTCAGCTTTTCTTCACCATCATTTTGTATATAAAACACCATTTCAGAGAAGTAGATATATGGTACTTCTGTTTTTAGCTTTTGTAAAAATCACTTTACTCACAAGTTAACTATTCTCAAACACTCTCTTAATTTATGATCAAAGAAGATCTAGTTTTGACATTTTGCAGTTAATTGATAAACTTTGATCGTAAATTAAATAAATTTGATATTAAACATTCATAAAAAATAAATTATTAGATTTATCTTCCAAAATAATTTCAAAATATTATTTTAACAAAATGATATAGAAAATACTCCCTCTGTCCACCATAGATCTTTCCAGACACTATTCACAGAGTCAAACTTTACTCACTTTGTTTGCTCATTTTTACTAGTCATTTCGTAAAATAATATAGTCTTGTCACCTCTAGTTTTGTAGAACTTTTCATGTAGTTTATTATTATATAAATTTTATTTTAAAATTTTACTTCTAGAATCAATTAAATTGAATTGAAAATAAAGTCAGTCAAGGAAGAACTTAGGTGGACGGAGGGAGTAATTTTTAATGTAGAATCTCATTACCAAACCAAGATTATGAGACAGAAAGTAATTTACCCACTCTAACAGCTTAAAAAAAGGCAACTTAACGAATATTATTGAAAAAAAAATTAATCCAATAATTACATTTCTTTTTCTTTTTAGCTGAATTACCGCCGTGGTCCAACACCGTGAGATGTCCAGTGTCGGCGAAGAATAAAACAAGGTGGAAAAAGTGAAATGGGGCCCGCGGAGGCCAATCAGTGAGGAACCCACCAAAAGGACCATGTTGCCCGTGACCGAAGAACAGTGTCACGTGCAGGCATCGCGAAGTGAGGAAACTAACCCTTTCCTTAAAACAAAAAAATATCCAACCTTAATTCCTTAATCCTTGGTTCTTATGAATATATTACTCCGTATCTTCCTCGCAAAATGACAAAACTAGCCCCTGATATCCAGCGCTTTTCTCGGCTATGAATCAGGAAAGTGTGTGGGTTTAAGTCACCGGTTTAGCGTAAACAAATTGGCAAATAAATAGGGACAGTGTTTTTTACCACTTTTATCATGTTTTTTTTACCACAAACGTCATAAATCACAGTTTTCCCACTATCACCGGCCTTTAGCACTAATCCTGGCTTTCTTGCCAGATTTGGAAGCTTTTAGGGTAATTTTTATTTTTAAAACTTTCTTGTTCTAAAAATAAATATTAAAAACTTAAAAAACATGTTATTAGAATTTATTTAAAAGATGCATTAAATAACATACTCAGACATGTCTTAATTGATCATTTTATTTGTTCCGCCGTGCCCAAAAAATCGTCTAAAAGAATTAGTAATAAATTCAAATACATTCTTTTAAAATTTTCCAATTCACGCATAATACTTTGACCAAGTGATTCCTAGTTGAAAGACAATATGGAAATAAAGTGGTGATCTCAACCTCCATTGACCGGGTTCTAATCCTAACCAATCCTGAGACCTTTGGTGATCTCAACCTAAATACGAATGATAATGGCATCAGATGGCTAGATATAGGTCATGTTTGGGAATAACGTTAGCGATTTGAAAAGGTTATCTACGGGCAGTGTTTAGCGTTAGCGTTTTCAAAATAATCTACACCGTTAAAATTTTATCCAAAACGTCAACGCTAATCTCTAACGCTCTTCCCAAACAGACCTATAATGGGTTTGACTCTTTAATACTCCCCACGTCCCCCAAAAAAATTAATGTTTGACTTTTAGATTAAATTTCACAAATTTTAATTAGAAATTAAGTGAGAAAATAATACATTTAGTTACAATGTAAATTTAATATAATTGAATCCATTTTAAATATATTTTTCATATTTCAATTTTTTATTACATTTGCTTAATTAAAAATTATATTACGCATTTATGAATGGTTGAAGTACGTACTTCGTAGTAGTTATTTGACCAAAAAAGTCAAATAGTACAAATATTTTTAGCGGTGGGGAGAGTTATCTCAATATATTTAAAATTCTGCAAGGAAAATGTGAAATTTAATTTGGGTGCGTGGAGGGAGGGTACAATGTTTCAATGTAACAAAAAAAAACAAATCCCCCTAAATCGGTCAACAAATGGATTGACGTAATTATTGATTAGTGTGATGGAGACTAATCGTCCTTAAAATACGGAGGGATTATGTGTTGATTGCAGTGGATTAAGGCACCCCCAAGCCGTACCAAAACAAAGCGGGTGGGGTGAGCTCCTAATTATATAATGCCACGTACAAACCATGCAAAAGAAAGAAAAAGTCCTTGCCACCGACACTCTACAGTACGATTAAAATAATTATTGTAATAAATTAAGTAACTAAAACATGTATAATAACCACATTTTATTCCCGAAAATAGATCTCTAATAAAAATGTGTATTTTGACTGTCAAATACTATTAAAAAAATCCTAATGGAACCAAGTCACCAAGTAGGTATAGTAATTACTCCTTTTCCATCAATGCAATCTAGTCCCTCAGTCCAAAAAAATACTCCCTCTCTTCTATAAAAGTATTCCTGTTTTGATTTTGTGTAAATATAAGTGTTAAATTATAGTTGACTTCCAATTTTGCCCTTGATGTGATGGGTAAAAGTAAGATGCGATGGATTAAGTATTAGATAAAAAGTATGTTGTGATAGGTATGATATAAAAAAGTAAGGATAAAAGTGGTTTTTTAATAGAAAATGGAAGTACTTTGTTGGAAGTAAAAAAAAAAAGAAAAAGAGTTTTTGAGAACGGAGGAAGTATTTCCTAATTTGACTTGTGACGCAAATTAAGAAAAGTTAAAAAGTGATTGAAGTTTTTCATATTTTAATATAGATAAAAAATGAGGATATAATTGCACATTAAAATTTTATTGCAGGAAACAAGAAAAAAATTTTGAACAGTCCAAAACGAAAAGCGAGAAATAAATTAATGGACAAAGGAGTAGTTTTTTATTTTTTTATAACAAGAAAAATAATGTCGAAATTTGGTTAAATGGTAAAGGGAAATAATTTTTAATATTTTTAAAAAAAGTACTTACCGAACCGCCAGCGGGCTTGAACCAATGCGATTTGCGGGTTATGGACCAAGAAGGGGATCGAACGGCGGAGAAAATCTGGTTCGGGCCGGAAATCGGCGTCGAAGATGGCCACGTACTCGCAATCCTTAACATAATCACGCTTTAATCCGTCCTTAAGGGCTCCCGCCTTATAACCACCTCGGCTTTCTCGAATTTGGTACCTAATGTTGATGCCTTTGCTTGCCCACCTTATGCACTCTTTCTCAATCATATCCTTAACCACATAAAATTAATCATATTAAATTCATGATGTTTATTAATTACTCCTTTCCCATTCCACAATAATTGTCTTATTATCGATTAATAGACACGATTTAAATCTTAATAGACAGTTATTATGGGAGAGTAAACTTAAATAGACAGTTATTATGAAATGAAAAAGTAATGCACCCACCAAAAACTTTGGTCGAACAACATAATTGTGATTCTCTCCAATGAGAAATTGCAAGAATCAACTCCGGACTTTTTTGTAATTCCATACGTTGAGATAATATATACTACGTATGAACAGATACTACGTTGTAATAAAGTCTATAATACTTAAAAATAATACGCTAAATTTTTTTAATACATTTTTAGAGTGTGAATTTGATGAGAAAATAATTTAAGGCAGGAGGGGTATATATGCAAATGAAATTAAATGAGCAAAGGGGCAAAACCCATTTATTGAATGCACCTACTGGAGAATACGTGGGGGCTATGGTAGGTGAATTAATAATCCCCAATAATGACAATTTTTAAATTGCAAAAATTTTAAGGGGTCGTTTGGTATACCGAATTGATGAAATTAGAATTAAATTGGAATTGAGATTCCATTAGATTCAATTTCAAAGAATTGAATTCACCAATTCCAATTCATTTTTTGCAATATCAATTCCAAATTGACATAATTTTTGTTCTACCAAACACCAGAATTAAAATTGAAGTTCTCAATTCCAATTCCATAATTTAAATTTCGTGTACCAAAGGGAGCCTAAAAAAGAAAGATTGAAATCGCAGATCTGGAGTTTTAATTACATTATCCGGAATTTTTTTTAATGTGTTGGGGGGACATTGCAAAAGCTTTATAAATATATCCCTCTTCCCACTACTGTCACGCTGTTCTTTTTCTAGTTACTGCGCCAGTAAAATCCGCCAATAATTGCAGAATGGGTGTTCGTGAGGGTGAAAAAAGAGGGGAAATTTAACCTTGATTATCGGATCCGTGGAATCATCAAGAACCTGGATGATTATTCTATCCGAAGGCCAAGAAAGATTACATGCTGCTCCAATGGAGATCTTATACACCTGCGCCCAGGATAACATTTCACAATTAAACTGAAATTCTCAAAATAAAATTACAATTTGATAATATAACTATAATGCATTTTATCAAACACTTGATAGTTTTTTTTAACCTCATTTTTTAAAGGATTATGCTCGATTGACCCAATATTTGAATCCCAAGATTTAACTTCAGTCTTACAGACCTTACAGACACGAAACAACGTTGAATGTCTGTATTGTCTGCAGGGTTAAACTTCAGCTTCAAATGTAAGGGTTAAAATAGCATTTTTTTTCAGGCTTCAAATTAGAGTTTTTACAGTCTAGACCCAGATTTATGACATCAAACAGCAGTAAAAACTATGAGGAAAAGAATCCCAAGTTTAGCAAATTCAACTAATTCCAAGTGACTTTGACTGTGATTGAATTAACCATGCTTTAATTTTAACTGGAATGTGAATTCTACTGTAATTTTAACTAAAATCTGAAGGGGGGGAAAACTCGATTATTAAATCCGGGAAAAGCGGGGGATGGTAACGGAATGCCGGTAGAATAAGTCACAAGCGAGTAACCAAACGGGGCCTTAAGAGGAGGAGGAAGAAGAAGAAGAAGATTGAATTACAGACCTCTCTTTCATTGAACATGGGGATCTGGATAAGGACGAGAGGGAAAGAGGAGTTTCCGATTTCCAAATCCTCGCGGAGAGGCTCCCAATTGTAGCGTTTCTCGGGCTTTTTCCAGAAGATTTTGACGAGGACGATGACGATCCCCATGTACAGACGCTCGCAGAAGAGCATGAGCGTCATCGCCAGGCACACGTACACCGACACCCTCAGCAGCGGCACTATCACCGGCGCCTTTATCAGCTCCCACATCATCCCCATTTGCGCCGCCATGTCCGCCGCCGGTCCCCGGAATGTGATTCCGCCGCCGCTCGCCGACACCTCCGCCATTATTCCTTTCCCCCGCCCCCACCCCCGATGAGCAGTAGTACTAGTAGATCTGATCTCTCTCGCTCTCTCCCTCCTCTGATTCTTCTCCTTCGAGAATCTTCTGCTTGCTTCGTGAAGGGGAATGGAGGGAGGGAGGGAGTGTGCGAGTGGGAGAGAAGGCGATGAAGGGAGATTTATACTCCGGGTCTTGCAGTGAACTGAAATTATGAGTTTTCTATAATTGATGACTTTTCGGGTTTTTCATTTCTTGCCCAAACTGTTTTCGAGTGTGAAAACTAAAAGGGGAAGGAGAAAAAAAAAATATTCCCTCCCTTTCATAAGGACAATTTCCTTTGATAAAAATGAAAAATGTTAAACTAAAAGTCTTAAACCTTTGAAAACCAAAATAAGAGTATAATGGCAATTCGATTTAAAAGTGTTGACAGTGTGATATAAAAATAATGAAAGTGTAATAGAATGCCCTGGTTAGTAAATCGTTGGTGAGCCACCGGTGGTACTCTGGTAGCTCGTGATAATAGATGATAGTGTGACAGTTATTGTGTGAGTGTCGAACAATGTGGTAATGTGACAGTAAAACAATATCAGTGTAAACTATTGTTTTTTATTTCAAAAGACTTATGATCTATATTTTAATTTTTTTATATGAGTATTTTTTATTTTTATTCGAAGAATTATCTCTTTCATCTTTCTATAATTCTATTAGTATGATGATTACCGAAAGTAAATTTGTGTGGAAGAAGTGATATAAATGAGAGAAATTATAAGAATAAAAAATTGTTTTCCAAATACGAAATGTGGAATTTTCTTTTGATAAGAATGAAAAGTGAAATATGAAATTCTTTTTCTTATGGTTGGAACAGAGTAAATAAAGAAAATAAATTAAGTCGCAATTTCGTAAGGAAAATGCTAGAGTCACGAACATATAGTTCACAAACTTCACAAACTTGCATTTTATAGATTTTAAATTAAAATATCTTTTATTATCTGAGTTCATCTTATTTCTAGAAAAATGTTAAAAGATAAATTTGTAAATTTTGTGAATTGTTTGTTTGTGACTATAGTATTACTCATTTCGTAATCCAAATATTATGGTTCGTTGATTCATTGATTGTGGTTTGGACATGCTACACTTACACCAAAACATATATCCCATTTGTACACCACAGGTTTGCACAAACATTTCAATGGTTTACACCGACACAAGTGTTTGTGCGTTAATAAAAATTCACACAAACACGAATGTTGGTGCGTTTAACAAAAATTAGTTTTACACCAACACAAAGTGTTGGTACAAAACCGCGGGGTAAAAATTGGGGTACAAACCTTGGGGTACACATAGCATAATCCTTGTGGTTTACTTGAAAATTGAAAGGAGAATATAATGGATCTTTTTAGATTTACTCCCTCCATCCCATTTTGATTTACACTAATTATTTCTTAAATTACATTTTTGTTTGTAAAACTTGTTATATACTTTTATCTGTGAAAAGAATCAATTACTCCTGTACTATTAAAATTATCTAACATATTATCTAGAGTATCTTTTTTTATTTTCATTACTCTTTTTAGTAAAACGAAGTATTATTGTAATCTGGTCTATGTTTAAAAAGTCTAACGAAGTACTCCGTATTATTGAATTATACACCAATTATTAACCATATTGTATGGAAAATAATTTCAATCAAAAGTTGCATACTCTTAGTAAAAGTTTTTTTAGAAAGATAGAGTAAGTTCAAAATATGTGTATAAATTTTAAGTTTTTTCATGTTACATCATTATCTAAATAAATTAAGTTAAAATAGCTTTAATGCTTTGATATACAGATATTTTTAAATATATTAATTTTATTTTTTAATTTTATACTAATATTTATATAAATTAATTTGGTTTAAACTTCAATTCGCTAGTAACCACAATTGGAAAATATTTTGAATGGAGTAGCATTTATTAGCGAGTAAATAAATGCTTTGTTCTTTTATTTGTTTGATCGTATTATTTTCATTTACCATTTTTAACTTTGCTCACAATTATATTTATTTTCCTTTTTTGATGGAATCTATCCCTCTATTCTTTTTTCCAATTTATCATGGAGCTCATTTGATACATTAACTTATTTCGCCATGGTAAATCATTTCAATTCCAATAGTGATTATCCATCACACAAATAATAAGAGGATGGTCGGGGTTGCGTTTAAAAGCGCGCTGCTTATAAGAGCAGAGGAAATGGGACTGACGCCCCAGGCATGAATCGCCGTTTGACGCCATATGGGCGTTAAACACCGCCTTCTGACGGCGTTATGGGGCGTTAGCCCCAACGCGTCAAACGTTTAATGCCTCCCTCCCCTTCCCCCAACGGCCTAAAACATAGAGAAAAGTACTAAAATAGGACTTTCATGTTTTTTTTCCGGAATAGGACTTTGCACTGTGGTAATGTGACTTTGCATTGTGGTAATGTGGCAGTGTACATGTGCAAATTATTATACTTTTTTGGTAATGTATATGACCATGTTTGGTAATGTAAGTCCTATTTCGGGAATAAAAACATTGAAGTCCTATTTTGGTATATTTTCAATGTTTTAGTCCTACTTTGGTCTTTCTCCCAAAAAAACCAATAAATTCAATTAAAACAAATCTATCTCTCACACTTCTCTCGATATCTTCTCTCTAGAATTCTATCAAATATTCTTTCAAATATTTGATTATTTATTATAAATATTTATAAAATATATTTTAAAAATGGGATTATCTTCATCCGATAATGAAAAAGAGCTCTCATTTTTTGTTCTTTCGCCACAAGTTGTTATCAATGGTGGCAACAAGGCGAAAAAGAAGAAGTCGAATCCTCCCGACGCCGGACCCGACGACAACGTTTAAACCGGGATCGAGCGGCTGCCCACGCTTCACTTCACAACGACAACTTCAATACTCCGTGTGTTTATACACTAGAGAATTTTAGTAATCCTTTTTGGATGAGTCGTCCTCTCTTTTAACGCATACTCGCCGATGTTGAACGCGAGGTGCCTTGGTTCAACCAACGCTTTGATGCGAGAAGCCGACGCGGATTTAGTAGTGTCCAGAAGTGCACTACCGCGCTTCCTCAGATGGCATACATGGCGGCATATGATATGTTTGACAAATACTTGAAGATGTCAGCTCGGAGCATCAGGTCATGTGTTTATAAATTTTCTAAAGCTATTATTCGAATTTATCATAAAAGATATTTATGCAAGCCTACAGTGAGCGACATTGTTAGAGTATATATAACAATCATTCTTGGGCCACAACCACAAGCTTGAGCTTTTGGTTGAGTTGGTTCCTTGACAGACATTCAGCAGCTACAGGCAAGGCATGCCACTAAACACGGATTTGTCGGCATACTTGGCAGCATTGATTGCATGCATTGCAAATGAAAAATTGTCCCACTGTGTGGCATGGTCAGTTATCCCGGGGGAATCATCCTAAGCCTACTATCATGCTCGATCGAAGCTGTTGCTTCCAACGACTTGTGGTTTTGACACGCTTTTTTCGGTGTGTCGCGGGCTCGAACAACGACATCAATGTTCTCGATCAATCGCCTATTTTTGACGATTGGATTAATGAGACCGCACCCGACTCATCTTTTGAACTTAGAGGGATGCTTTACAAGCGTGGATATTATTTGGTCGATGGAATATATCCACAATATTTCACGATTGTCAAGTCCCTCTCCGAACCAATGAGTCTTAAATGCCAGACCTACAAAAAAGCTCACGAGGTGGTGAGTAAAGATATTGAACGAGCCTTCGGGGTCTTGAAGGCTAAGTGGCACATTCTAGAGCATCCGTCCAAATGTTTTTCTCAAACAAAAATGAGGAATATCATGTACGCATATATTATTCTTCATAATTTGATCGTAGAGGACAACGAGTTTGTGATTTGTCAATACAACCCAGACGAGGAGGTGCTTATGTACGAAGAAATCGACGAAGAAAAAAAACGAAGAAACCGCCAAGAAATTTGAAGCCAAGATATTCACAATGCACTAACGTCGGATTTGATCGAACATATGTTCAGTCGCTCGAATAATTAGTAATTTGTTTGTAGTATTATTTTTTTATGGATGTAATATTTTTTTAATGAATATAATTTTTTTATGAATGTATTGTTTTATGGATGTAATTTTTTTTTAATGAATGTAATTTTTTAATGTACTATTCTCCTTTCGATTATTTTAAATACAGTAATAAAATAATTAAATTTTATTAATTTAAATTTAGAAGATGTATATTTAAAAATGTAAAAAATAAAGTTTTGAAGCCCCGGGGCTTCAAACCCATTTCCACTGAATCTGTGAGGTAATTTAAAGTTGACGTGGCAAAGTAGAAATTTTGAAGCCCCAGGGCTTCACGGGTATTTCTAATGCCCTAAGGTTTTGTTTCACTAAAATAATGATTGTCGCGTTTGCCAATCTGCTTAGGGAGAAGAATCAAAGTAGGACTAAAACATTTAAAATATACCAAAATAGGACTTCCATATTTTTATTCTCGAAATATGACATAGTACATTACCAAACATGGTCATGTACATTACCAAAAAGAACAAGTTCTAAAAATGCATTTAGGGAGAAAGATCAAATGCATTTACATTACCAAACATGGTCATGTACATTACCAAAAAGCATAGTAACGTGCACATGTACAGTGTCACATTACCACAATGCAAAGCCCTATTTCGGGAAAAAACATGAAGATCTTATTTTGATATTTTTTTATGTTTTAGTCCTATTTAGTTTGATTTCTAATCTACTTATAGATTATGACTTCTACAATCTAAAATGGACTCTACAATTGTTTTTAAGTTAAGTTAAAAATATCTGCTTCCTAATTTGACTTAAAACTTCTATTTTTCAACAATCTACCACACTCTCAAACACCATCTTACTCATTTTTTTGAATTCTACACTTTTTTATTACTAAAAAAGTTACCTCTTTCACCTCAATGAAAGTCACAATCTCTAGTCTCAAAGATAAACTGGTCTTAAGATTCTTTTCTCTATACTTTAGTACTATGATTGACAAAAAATGAGAAAAATGTGGAAGGGAACTTTTGAAATCACAAACACACTTTAAAAACTCTCAACTCAATTCTACTAATGAAAATCAGAAACGTGTAATCAATAACAATTCTTTGTAAAAATAAAAATGAGTT